CCAGCCCCCAGCCTGCAGCCCCCAGGGAGCAGGAGGACTGCAGGGCCAGGGCCTGCCCACCGGCTGCCTCTGGGGCTTCCTTTCTGTGGCAGATTCCTCTCTGGCAGCCCTGATTCAAAGGCAGGGTTCCGAGTTGAGGCAAATGGGCATAAACATGTCCCTGGAGGAGAACTCTAAGGCGTTACAAATGTAAGGTATTGTTGGTACAAATAAAATCAAACTCATTATCCAGGAGATAATAAAGATTATGATGTTAGAGAGAACCTAGTCTAGTGAGAATATCCTAATTTTCCTCTTGAGTGTCCCCCTGGCCTTGTGAGGGCCTTGTCCCCCTGGCCCTCATTAAATGAATGAGTCTTTCTGGTCTGCTGAAATCTTTGCTTTATTTTAAGATCATTTACTTTCAATTTGTCAGAGGTAAAGAATGACTGATGAACTTCCTTCTCAGAAATCTTCAGCTATTTTAAGGCCAATCAAGTCTTCTCTTCCTTAAGCTCAGCCACCCCAATTATTCTGACTGGTGCTTTTTAATGACCTAACATCTTTTTTCTTTTAGAATGACATGGACATATCTGCTCAATAAATTAACATCGGCTGACGTATTTGGCTCTTACAAGTCCACCTGCCAATAAAGAAGAGGCAGATGGGGCAAAGAACTAGAGGAAAGGGTGGGGAGTCATGTGACCATTTATCAAGCGAAGAGAACCAGCACCCAACCAAAAAAAAAAAAAAACAAAAACAAAAAACAAAAAACAAAAAAAAGCACTACTTTTAACCTTTTTTTAAAGTCTATTTCCCATATCTTTAATTACCTCTATTGCTCTTCTCTGAATCCTCTCTGGTTTTCAATGTCCTTTTGAAGGGATGTTAATCAAAACTACCCATTTTTCTGATCACAGTTCAAGTAGCTACACTGTAGCATAGAAGAATTACTTTACAATCTCTGTAAGTCATACAACTATCCTTTATTATAGCCCAAGTTATCAGGTGATCTTTGTTTCTTTGCTTCTAATAACACTGACTTATTATTTCGGTTCAGCTTGTGGTCAGCTAGGGCCCCTGGATTTTCATTTTTGTTTTCTGTCCTCTATACCTGGGTCTAACTACCAAGAATTTTTGTGTTAGTATGAGCCCTCCGCCATTTCATTTAACATGTTTTTATTGAGGCAAAATAAACACACACAAACCTGGACGCGTAGTTAAGTACACATCGCGATCAATTTCAAAGACGCAGCCCACATAACCAACATTCAGATTAAGCAACCTACGGTATCAGCAACCCCGAAGCCTCTCTTGTGCCCCCTTTCCACCTTTGCTTCCACCACCCCACCTGTGTTAAACACTATCCTGATTGCTAACACTGTATGTTACATTAGCCTGTTTTTATTCTTTATAAAATATAATCACAGACTGCACTATTTTGTGTCTGGTTCATTCATGTTGCCCCTCACTTCCACTCTCCTTTCTTGAACTCACCCTTTTCATTAGTGGGCCTAGAAGGATGTAGGGGCCTGAGAACCAAGGCATTTCAAGCTCAGACCTGTCAATGTTGACTGCAGCTAGGTAACATAGTTCCTGTGACATGCCAGATTTCTGAGTTAGAATTTTACTCGAACCATTTACTGGTCATTTTGTCCCTTTTACTCTTCAGAATCAACCCTCTCCTCCCCAGGTCAATTTATACTCCCATATCAGGGTAATCTCTGAGGACATAATGTGTGTATGTGACTGCATTAGCCCCATGGGGAATTATTTCTGTGTTTATGAGGGAAAGGATTAGAGAGAGTTGTGTCTATGTTTAGGGAAGCCTTTAATTCAGATGTTCAGTTCAAGGTTTAATCCCTAGTTGTGGTTTGTGCTAATATGCTGTGGGCATGACAGGTATGGGAGGTGGGGAAATCACGTGTGTTGTTACCGTAGAGCAGTGCTTCCCAGACCTTTTCACAACATGGCACCACAGAGATGATAACATTTATATGGAAAACTGTGGCCGATGGAGAAGATATGTATGTATAATGGGCAACAAAATGTAAGACAATGTTTTACACCATTCCAATATTTACAACACTTACATTTATGTATATATTTATATTTAAGCAGATCTGGTATATATTTAAATGTATTTAGTGAGTAAATCTAATACATATATTTATATTATTATATATGTTTATGTTTAAGGAATCTAATAGCCCTTCTTTTTCTTTGTGCCATATGTAATGTTGATTTGTGTGTGTATGATGTAAATAGAATTCCAAATCCAAACTAATTTATTTCATATCAACTATTTCAGAATAAAGAAGTCCTAATTTGCAGAATAAACATGCATTGTTAGGGATGCCTGGGTGTCTCAGTCGGTTAAGCGTCCAATTCTTGATTTCGGCTCATGTCCTGATCTCACTGTCTGTGAATTTGAGTCCCTCAGTGGGCTCCATGCTGACAGTGCAGAGCCTGCTTAGGATTCTCTCTCTGTCCCTCCCCGACTAGCATGCGAGGTCTTTCTCTCTCTCTCTCTCTCTCTCTCTCTCTCTCTCTCTCAGAATAAATACATAAACTTAAAAAAAACATGCATTGTCATCGGCTCACTTGGGCACCACTAAAAGGCATATCAACCAAAATAACAACAAAAGTATCCAGTGTACGCGAAGCTGGAGATAGAGCTGTGCCTGCGGGAACCCCTGCCACCCTAGGGGCCTTCTTTGGGCTGTGGGCCACGCCCCCTGGCACATGGAACACAAAGTCCTGGAGTAGCTCATGGTCGTGTCCATGAACAGCAGGTACAGACTTTGTGTCTGGCTGCCAGAGTCCTTGGGCAAGTGGTGGAGGCAAAACCACAGGTGTGGGGGTATTTCTCATTGTGCAAGCTGCCTGCAGGACCAAGTGCATGCCACTTCCCTGGGGGCTGCCCTTCGAGGATTCGGAGGTGAGGCTGCTCCAGCTACTCAGGCCCTGCTCAGCTGCCCAGAAGGATGAGGGGATCATCTCCCATGGCATTCTTGGAGCTCATCTGCAGCACTCCAGTTGGCTTACCATTTGGGACATTCTTCCAAAGATGTTTTAGTGACAGAGGCCAATGCTCTAGAATTGTCACCTTAGTGTGTCTGAGCTGCTACCATAAGTACAGTAGGTTGGGTGGCTTATAAATAGCAGAAACACAGTTTTGGAGTCTGGAAGTCTGAGACCAGGGTACCAGCATGGTCAGGTTCTGGTGAGGACCTCTTCCAGCCCATAGACTGATGACTTCTCATTGTATCCTCACATGGCATAGAGAAGAGTCTCTGTGGTCCTTTTTTTTTTTGGTAGGCCACTAATTCCATTCATGAGGGTTCCACCCTCCTGACCTACTTACCTCCCAAAGTTTCCACCTCCTTATACCATCATAGTGGGGGTTAAGATTTCAACATACACATTTCGGGGAGATACAGACATTCAGTCCATTGCAACTCTTCCCCAAGCAAGCTAGTCATACCAGTTGAGGCTAGGAGAGCTTTTTTTTTTCCTTGTAATTTTTAAAATATTTATTTATGAGAGACTGAGAGAGACAGGCATGAGCAGGAGAGGGGCAGAGAGAGAGTGAGACACAGAGCCCGAAGGAGGCTCCAGGCTCTGAGCTGTCAGCACAGAGCCTGATGCGAGGCTCGAATTCACAAACCGTGAGATCATGACCTGCACCAAAGCTGGACGCTTAACCAACTGAACCACAAAGACACCCCTAGGAGAGCTTTGTTGAAAAAGTTCCTGATTATTTATTCAGAAGGTTGGTGAAAAAGTGTCTGAATATGTGTGGCACTGAAAACTTTTATACAGGATATAGACAGGTGAATCAAATTCAAGAGCCTTGAATTAGGCCCACTCAGAACAGGTGAGGATGGGCACTAATCTGAGAAAATATCTGCTCTAGATTCAGCCTGACTGAACTGGGCTGTGTTGGTGAGGACTGTGATAGATTATCCAAATGGAATAGTTGAGAAGGGTTTAATAAAGGGACTACTTACAAGAGTATTTGTCGGGTCAGGGGAAATCAGCAACATTTAGTGAATCATCTTGGGAGTAGAGTGCCATTACCACCCCTCTGCTTGAGGAGAAGAAGAGGAGGTGTGGGGACTAGAACCTGGAGGGTAAAGTACTGTAACCTTTAGTAAAGGAATGTGGCCACTGACAACCTGTGATGTGATGGGAAGGATCTGATGGAAACTAAGGAGCTGATGGCTATGACCTCATTGTCTTCTTCCTCCAGCCTCCTGTCAGAGCCTCCCATGGCCAAACCCAAGTGGATGCTGAAGACAAAGGAGCCCATAGATCTGGTCCACAGAGGCCAGTTTCCAGGAACAGAGTACAGAGTGGAAGAAAGAGAATATCCAACACTTTTCACACCTTTTGCCCTTCATCATCCACCTTGTCCAGATGAAGACGTCATGTCCCCAGCCCCAGGACGTACAAAATCCCATTAGTTACTGAATGACATCGTACTCCCATCTGAAACCTAAAGTGTTAACCATAATGCTCTTCATGTAAGGTTTGGGGGTAAAAGTGAAGGAAGAGAATCAAGTAATTAACATAAAAGCTGCTATTATCCCTCCTTCTATACCTGGTCATGAGACTCAAGTTGATAATTGTGTCTTCCTTCTTTTATTACCTATTACACATTTCCTAACTCTTTGCTACCACCTCAACTGATCAGGGTTTTTTTACCCTCTTTTCTTCATAATCTATGTCCTTTGGTGGCACTATCTTTTTTGGGTTGCCTCAGTTTTCCACTGATGAGTAATCTAGTGAAGAGAATACTCAATGGTGGTGTATGAAGTCTTGGATTCTGCATTTGGTCCTTCCTGACCTCATTGTATAGTGGTGACCCAATTTCTCCTTGGTAAGCAGATCACCTTGGTGAGTGGCATGCCCTCTTTTTTGATTATTGGTTCAGTAGAATGAGAAGCTGAAAATCGTTAGAAGGCAGTAGCAGCTTCTGACTTAACAGAACCTCACCCATGTTTTCTGGTTCACAGGGACCTCCACTGAGGCCAATGAGCCCAAGGTTGCCAGGATCAGAAGCAAACATCCCTTAAGAGGATACAACAGTGAGAGGCCACGCCCACATCCATGCTCCCAGTCTGGTTTCCAGACTTGGGCATTCCGTCTATGGGACAGCACCATACATTGGCTGCTGGTTTAAGGTATGTACCGTGTCCAATAGCAGGTTTTGCAGACTGCGGTCTTCCAGCAGGCATAGTAACTGAGCCTTCAGTGGGCCATTCAACTGGAATATGAAGCCATCTACTTTCTGAGGCATGTGGAAAGACCACATGAATTTAATTGGAACAAACTCTCTACTGCACTTTCTTTTTACTTTTAAGAAATGAGTTTCCTGGTCATAGGCAATGTGATTAACAGTGATGAATAAGGCATTCTGTAGGGAAGGATGGTGCTGGCAGAGCATTATGAGCGGGTAAAGCACAAATAAATGTAGAGTATGTATCTATTCATTTTAAGGACAAGTCACTGCCCCCACAGTGCCGGAAGAGATTCAGTGTCATCAACCTGTCACTAGGTGACTGGCTATTCAGCTTAGGGAATAATCCCATACTTGGGAACTCAGCACTGACCTCTGCTGATGGCAGCAAGGGCATTCAGCTGTGGCACTGATTATGTTAACCTTGGGGAGGTGAAGTCCATGTTGTTGAGACTACCACAGCTTCTATCTCAGGAAAGGGTGGAGCAAGCTACTTTTTCATGGTTCCATTGAGTTAGTCCCAATATGCCCTCTGGTAGGCACTCACATAGAACGTAAATATTTTCACAACCTTGGCCCATTCATTGACGTCTATCCATATATCCCTTCCCAGTTCTCCTTGTCACCAATCTACCCTCACAGAAACATCAAGAATAATATTTGACTGAATATCAGGGCACTTTGCCCCAGCTAAGGTGATATGTAGATTAACCATCACTGTGCTCATGCAATTTGCTTGTGCCTGAATTGGTAGATAAGATAATGCTCAGCTCACAATGGTGGTGTCTGTCACATAGTCACATGATATTGTGTGACCAGGTCTAGGTTCTATCAGAGCCTAGTGACAAGTGGGGAACTGCTTTGTCAATGAAGAATAGTCAGCAAAAGAGGCCACACACCTCACACCTTAGCGATATCCATGTAGTTCTCCCATTAGAGTTCTCCTGAGGCTACAGACAGCATTTTATAGTCTATGTCTGAACACTTTCTCTACCACTGGGTCTGCTTACTTGTGTAGTCCCAGAGGCAGAGCAGCTTGTATTTCTTGATTTGGCATCCCTCAAAACTGGCAGCTTGAATGGGTCAGAGCAGCGTACCTAAGGGTGGTATATGTTATTCCCCAAAATCCACAGATCTACCAAATATCAAATCACTTTGTGGTAGGAAGTGCAAGATGGAGCAATTTGTCACTCATTCCTGACATCGTTCACACCCCTGGGTCCCTAGAAATTTCACAATGTGGAAGGCCTCTGAACTTTCATGGGATTTATCTCCTATCTCCCAAAATGCATACTTCTTATTAAGGCACCGAAAATATTTGCCACTTCCTGTGCACCAGGTGCAATTGGCACAATGTCACCAATGAAATACAGTGATTTGTTTTTATTTTTTATTTATTTATTTTTTTAATGTTTTATTTATTTTTGAGACAGAGAGAGACAGAGCATGAATGGGGAAGGGGCAGAGAGAGAGGGAGACACAGAATCAGAAGCAGGCTCCAGGCTCTGAGCCATCAGTCCAGAGCCCAATGCGGGGCTCGAACTCACAGACCGCGAGATCGTGACCTGAGCTGAAGTCAGACGCTTAATCGACTGAGCCACCCAGGCCCCCCACTGATTTGTTTTTAGATATCAAAATGATCAAGTTCTGTGGACTGTAGTACAATAGTGCGATAGCAAGGTAGTGGATGAAGCCTTGTCATAAAAACCTCAGGTGGAAGTGTACTGCTGTCCTTGCCATGTGAAGGCAACTAGCTTTGCTGCTGGGAATTGGAAAAAACCCTTTTCTAGGCCTGTAGCTGCACCTAGCAGGTGCCAAGGGTGTTTTTATTTGTTTTGGTTGAGATACCCATCTGGAACTACAGTTGCGATTGGCATCACCATGTGACTGAATTCTCCATAATCTATAGTCATTCTCTACAATCCATCTGGTTTCTACACTAAACATGAGTTAGATGTTAATGTGGTAGTAATTACCACTCCTGCATCTTTTAAGTATTTGATGGTTACATTAATCTGTGCAATTCTGACAGGGTTACTATATTTCTTTGGGTTCACTGTCTTGGTGTGGGGGAGAGGGAAGTTCCATTTGGAAGGGACATTTCCCACTTGGAACTGCCATAATGGCCTCATTCCATGGGTCAGGAAGCCAGTGTGAGATTCTGTGAGTAGGTAACATATCTATTATTATTATACATTCTGGCACTGGGAAGGTAAGACGAGTGTGGTTTCTCAGTCTTATTGGACCCACTGTAAGATAGACTTGGACTACTGCTATTCCATTTATCACCCGATCTCCTTGAGCTCACACTATGACTTGTGGACCACTGTGCCAGTTTGAATCTCCTGTGGTTAGCGTGAGTTCAGAAACAGAATCTAACAGTCCCTGAAAGTTCTGGATAGTTCCCTTTCCCCATTTCGTTTAATGGCCTCTGGTCTCTCTGGGGAAAGATTGGGGAAGATTCACAGCATAGAGGTATGGCCACATTTCAGGTGCTTGTTCAAAGAGACTCCCTCACCTTTGCCCCCAAGTCAAAGGATTCTGGGCCTCTGGGTCCAAACACGGTAAATCCTGATTGTCCACCATGATTTTCCCCACTAGACCCAGAATTATATATGTCAAGTAGCACCTCAATAGTCTGTACATCCACTGCAGTCCTGAGGAACCCATGATTAGGTAGCCAGTGCCAGAGATCCCTACAGACCCAAACTTTCTAATTACCACTCCAGTTTCACACCTTATTATGGTAATTGTGTCCACTGTGGCTTTGAGACTCCTGACCCCGACTACACTGGGATCCCGTTTTTTCCATTTAAACCAAGGAGTCTAATTTCATTGCAACCTCTCCCATTGTCATTTCCTGCTTACAGAAAACAGCCAAAAGCTTTTCAAGGTCTGTGAACACTTCACAGTGGAATTCTTCTGGCCTTGAGAGGAGAGTATCCTCTGGCCTCCTGGGGAGTGTGGTTAAGGTGTGGCTGTGCATGTTGTATAGAATAGATCCCCTCCAACATTCTTAACCTCCCAAACCTTCAGTTTCCTTCTCAGAATGCTACAAAAGTCCTCATTAACGGCCAGCCACTGTTGAGTCCAGGCTTTTGTTGGCCAGTATAGCTATGACTGCCACTCCCAGCTGCTCAAGCCAGCACATGAAGTCCTGAATCTTGGGTGAGCACGCCTGTACCATTAAATTCTCCCATTCAATGCTCTTACGACTCCCTCCTATATATGCTTCCCAGGCTCCTCCTGGGGGTTCTGCAACCCTTTTGATGTATAGGCTCTCTCTCCCCTGTACCATGCTTTGTCCTTCTCCATCTGGGCTATACTAGGACATAACTCTTGCTATGGGCCTGGAGGCAGTGAGGGCTGTGGAACAAGTCCTGAGGTGACTTGCCACATCTGTGTCTGCCCAAATGTCCTATGAATCAGTGTCTCACTTTTGTACCAGTGGAAGGCATAAGAATTCTAGTGGGATTGAACATTTAATAGACTCTGTATGTATGTCACCTTTATAATCAGTCCCTGGGCATAGCTGCCCAACAAGAGATCTGTGACTCTCTCAAAGCTACCATCAAGGCTTTCTGCATTTCCATCTATGTTCCAAGTATTCAGGACCTTTGATTTATCCCTCCTCTGTATATGGTCTCTGGGACTATCATAGATCAGCCACCCCACACCACAGTAATCACCACTGTCAGCATAGCTAAGCCACTGGATCTGCCAACATTGTGTCTTCCATCCGCATTCTTTTAATGCCACTCATAGTGATATTTGGAACAACTACGATGCCACTGTATTTTATTTTATTTTATTTTATTTTATTTTATTTTATTTTATTTTATTTTATTTTATTTTTTGAAATGTTTATTTATTTTTGAGAGAAACAGAGAGAGTATGAGCTAGGGAAGGACAGAGAGAGAGGGGAGCAGATGATCAAAAGGGGTTCTGTGCTGACAGCAGGGAGTCCAATGTGGGGCTTGAACTCATGAACCATGAGATCATGACCTGAGCCAAATCAGATGCTTAACTGACTGAGCTACCCATGTGCCCTGATGCTACTGTATTTTATGGATTAACTGCATTCTGTTTCCCTCTGTCTGGCAAGAGGATATCCCTGCCATACATCTCAAATATGTGAGCAACCCAATTCTAGAATCTCATCTGAGGGTTATTTTCCTATAGGGCCATCCCTGGTACCATTACTTTATCAGTCAGTGTCCCAATGGGACACTGAAGTGGGGTAATTGCAGAGGGATTAACAAAGATATTTACAAAGTTGTGAGCAGTGGTTAAGAGAAATCAACAGGGTATGGTATAATACCCTTGGGCTAGAAAAAGCTGAGATCCCTGGTCTTATCTAGGTCTGAGTGGTTACCAGAACCTGGAGAGGGGGCTGTAGTTCTAGGAAGAGGCCACAGAAGAGGCTCTGTGGCCTTGGTAAAGGGAATGCCGTTACTGTCAATCCTCAGCTCAAAAGGGCAAGAGCCTGAGACAGGGAGGCCCAGACTCCAGGGGAAAACCAGACTCTCATCCATGTTCTTGTTCAGGTACAGAAAACCTAGGGGACTCCCATCAGCACATCACCCTGGAAATCCTCTAGCTCTGTGTAGACTAACTGCATGAAAATTGATAGAGCATACTTCCTGATTTTGGAAAAAAAAAAGTCACCTATTAAAGATATTTGGGGGAAACTTGGGGAAATTTGAATATAAGAATTGATATTAGATGATCTCAAAAACTTTCATTAAGTGTGATTGCTTCTTGCAGACAACAGGAAAATGTCCTTATTTTTAAAATGCAGTTTAAAAAAAAATGGCATGGTGTCTGTAATATACTTTAGGACAGTTCAGCCAAAAAGGAAAATGTGTGGTTCTAGAGAGATGCAGGAAATAGGACAAAATGCTAGTAGTTCTTTAATGTAGGTGGTGGGTAAATGAGTGGTCA